AGGAATCCATATCTTCAACTTCATCTTGAGTATCACCAGGCGAAGAAGGGGCTTGGCCCTCATCTAACACAACCACAACATTATTGCTTTGATTAATAACACTACCATTTGCATTACAAAGAATGCTTTGACTCTGATCGGAGAATTGAGAAATACTTTCAGAGTCTTGTGAAGAAGACTCCTGAGACTCCTGAGAGGTAAATTCATTAATTTCGTCGGAATCAATTTGGCTAGATTCAGAGGAGGCTTTTGGAGTGCCTTCAACAGAAGGCAAAGCTTCTCCAGCATTCAATCCTGCATTATTAGACCCGTTGTCATCAAGGGTTTTACTAGAAGGAGAAGCCTGAGTTTCAGCATTCAAAACAGCATTAACAGCCTCCGTGGCAGCAGCGCCAGCGGCATTCGTGTCAGCAGCAGGTTGCTCCAAAGGAGGAGCAGGATTATGAGCCTCACGATTACCCCAGAGAGTGGGGCAGGACCGAGCCAGATGCCCTTCACTACCACAGAGACAACATTTATTCTTGTCCGGAGAGGACATAGATTTGTGTCCCTCCTTGCTACAGATATTACAAATTACGGGTTCACCCCTGTACCAAACGCGGCAAACAAAGCCTTGGATAGACACCATCCAGGGAGGTGTTCTTTCCGCAACGAGATCAACAAGACGAGTGCCAGTAAAGATTTCAGGGTGAGAGATGTAGCACTGGCGACGAACGCTCTTCACCAAACCATAACTAGAAAAAAGGGCGGCAATGGCCTCCTCATCCTCCTCATGAGGGAAGTCAAACAAATGGACAATGGTAGTTGGAGGCCCACCATCAATTCTACACCATATCCCAAGAAACCTAACACCCTTTTCCTTCAGGGCTTCTACTGCCACTTCCTCTGACCCAAAGGTCACACAGACAACATCAATACATTAGGGACCTTAAGAAACAAGGACGGGAAGCTAGGACGGGGACGGCCTTGGACGAGCGAGACTAGGCCTGGCCCCGTTGTTCCCACCAAATACAAAATACTTAAGAATCCGTATTTTCGCGTAGGACGGCGACGCCGATACTTTCTGTAATGACGTCCTACAAAGATGCCAGAAATCTTCTTTTAGATAGCTATAACTATGGCACTATAGATGAAGATGAATTTTTCGTGCTCTATGAAGAACATTTTTCCAAGAATCCAGAATTTCCATATGAACAGTACGAACTATTTGACGTGGACGTGATGGATGATACAGAATGCAAAGCCAAATTTTGCTTTAGGAAGACTGAAATTCCACTACTTGCGGAAGCACTCGATATTCCCGAAACGTTTGTTTGCCATCAAGGTACGACAGCTCCTGGAATTGAAGGTCTCTGTGTGTTTTTAAGACGACTGACCTACCCTTGTCTCTATTCCGATTTAATCCCTCGTTTCGGCCGACCAGTACCGGAACTAAGCATGATTTATAACATCGTTTTGGATTACATTTACAATACACAAGGACACAGAATCACGCAGTGGAACAACACAATTCTTGACCCTGTGAGCCTTGAGAGATATGCAGTTGCTATCTCTGATAAAGGTGCAGCACTGGACAACTGCATAGGGTTCATAGATGGAACTGTCAGACCAATATGTCGTCCAGGAGAATTACAAAGAGTTGTCTACAATGGACATAAGTGGGTCCACGCACTCAAATTTCAATCTGTGACCTTGCCTAATGGTATGATTGCTAATATGTATGGTCCTGTAGGTAAGATTTATTTTTTGTGGTTCATAACAGTAAATTACACGAACCCAATTGGTATTTGTTAAAAACACAAGGATGCCTTTGTAACCTGTTTCAAGGCTTCAATGTTT